AGATAAAAACTTGGGGGTTTTTTTTGTGAATGTCTTTCTCTCTGATGTTGGGCTGCACCTCAGAGAGAAAATCGAGCATCTTGGTCTCATTGCTGTGACTGGATTGACTCCTGCAGATCCATGGGAGGGGGGCTGGAAGCTGGGAAGGAGCTGCTGCTTATCCCCACACACAAAGGGCAGCACACAGAGCCAGCACTGCCTTCCCTCAGCTCCCCTTCCCGGGTCCCTCAGACCTGCAGCCCATTAAAAACCCACAGCAAACAGAATTTCTGCATTTCAGCTCCGTGACAGAAGCCAGTCCTCGGTGCTGAATCCCAGCTGGGATATAATGGACAGGGTTCATTAGGGGAGCCCCAGCTACCGGCAGCTTCCAGGCTTTTCAGATGATGGGAATTCAGCAGGAAACCTCAGTGGTGGTGTTTGATTGCTGCTGCAGGGGACTGTGGCTGATTTAACCACTTAATCAACCTCAGCCAGGCAAAGCTGGGGTTGTTATTTCGGGAGAAGCAGGTTATGTAGTGCTTTTTTCTTCACCAAGTCTCCTTATCAGCCCAGGTGTTTGAATCACCTGGGGACTAACCTTAAAAGAAAACAGACAATACCTGAATTTATTTACTTTCAAGCAACTTGTATACATAAAGGTGGGGAAATACAGATTTTAATCAGGCTCACAAAACTAGCTTTTATTTTTCCCCAAATAACTTTTCAAACCAGGAATGCAATGTATTTGGGGTTTTTATTGAAGGACTCCGTGTGCATCTGCACAGTGCTGCCGTGGGAAGGTTTCCCAGCACTCAGCCCCAGCTCCATCTCTGCCTCTTTATCCTTTCCAGGTCTCTTCCTGCAGAAGGAAGAAGCCCAAATCTTTGTTTCCTGATGCTCACAGCAGAGGACAGGCTGACACCTGAATTTGGAAAGTAGGGCAGCAAGAAACCCCGGGCAGAGCACAGCAACAGCCTCCTGCTGGAAGGGGAGGGTCAGGCATTCGGTTACTCCTGTCGTGTGTGTGGTCCTGGGAACCAACTTTCCTTTTCCCCCTCCTTGGGTATCATCTCCAAAGGCAGGGAGGTGACAAACACTTCAACTTCCCTGTGATCCAAAGGAAGTGAGGTGAAAGCTGCGCCTGTGTCAGCATTCCCAAAAAGCTGCCCCCGGTGCCTCTGTGAGGGGACCCACGGCAGAGGGAAACCTGCAGACAATGCCTGCTTTGTCCCCTCCTGAGATGCTGAGTCCAAACATTTAACCACAAAATGCATTAATTACCATCCAGCTCCCCGGGGAAAGGACCCTATGCCAGTATCCAGGGGAAACAAAAAAGGAAGAAGCACGGAAAGGCCATTGATTATTAAATTACTCCAACTGCAATTACTGCCACCAAAAGTTCTTGATGAAATTTTCCTAGAAACGTCGAGTTCTCCAACCACTGCACTCGGAGCGGTGCTAACTTGGACCATGGAGCACAGGAGTGACCCAGAAACTGTGGGATGAGGTCACCTTCCCACATAATGCCACGGGATGTGTCCTGTGCTGCTGTAACTCTGCTCAGCCCACAGCACAGAGCTGCTCTCTGTGGATTTCTCCCCAGTGGCAGCTGTGAGCTCCAGGGCTGGCTCCACGCGTGTCCTCAGCTGCTCACTGCAGCTAATCCTAAAGTTTGGCAGCCACCCCAGAGGAAAATGAGCCATCCAGGGACAGCTGGTTGGGAATCACAGCAAACTGCAAACAGTCTGACACCAGCAGAATTTGGGTTTCCCCCGCAATCCTTAGAAATCTGGCAAACCAAACCCTGCTCGACGCAGGGGCAAGAAAAGAGGAATGAGCCATAACAAATTTGTCCCTCCCAGGAGGGAGGTGACGGATGGAGCCCAAAACCCCTCTCGGTGCCTGGATGGGAGGGAGGAACGTGGAGCTCCTGCTGAGGGGGCAGCAGCTCAGCAGAGCATCTGTGACACGAGGGCTGGGCCTGTGGTGGCTGTGCTTCCGCTGCTGCATCCCAGCCCAGGATCCCGAATTAGCTGTGGAATGGGAATGCTGGTATTTATATCCAGGGTGTGGCAGTCCTGCTTTCCTTTAATAGGTGTCCCTGGGCAGGTTCCTCTCCCAGCTGCGTCCAGCATGGCTTTCAGGAGCTCTAATGAACCCGGCAGTCAGGACAGGCTCCTGCTTCCAGCCACAGCCAGCACTCTCCTCCCCAAACCTCCTCAGCATCTTTCTTCTCACAACAGTTTAATTATAATTTAAAAAATGGGATGTTCTTACATATGACCCCCTGAGTGACAACCTGACCTTTGTGCTGAGCTCCTCCTGTGCCTGAAAAATTCCCCGTGGAAATAAAAACCCATTTTTGAGCCCCAGACTCAGCATGGTAGAGAATTCCACCAGAGGAACACGCACAGCCAGGGCAGGAGAGGACCTGCTTTGATATCTTTAACATCTGATGCCTCCAGTTTCAAAAGCACTTGGAAAGTTTGAGATGGAAAAACTGCTGCAGAAAGGCCAAAACTGCCAGAGAAATGAAACAATCTCATGTTGTTTTGCTGCTCGGCCAAATGGGGACGAAGCTCCTGAATGCAGCATAAAATAATATTGAGGGAGTGCCCCACTGAGCACACGTGGGGGGCCAGAGTTGCTTTGTTCCCACTCCAGGGCTTGGTGCAAATTTAGCTTTGAGTAAGTCACTGAACTTTCCTGACTCATTCCTCGCTGCTGTTAAAGGTGGGTGATGCTCATTTCCCTATGGATTGTTAGGAGCACTGGTGATTTATTATGTAAAGCATGGACAAATTAATTCTAAGTGTTCTAGAAAAGAAATAAATAAATCCAGACTAATACAAACAGCAATTACTGAAGGAGGAAAGAACTGAAAGCTTTCAGACTGAACATTGTTGAAGGTTTCACTTGAATGGGGAGCATGAGAGGTTTGGTAGGTGGTAGCTGGAAACCAGGAAAATGTCATCTGAAAGTGAAATAATTGAAAAGATATTAAAGCAGAGCCAGAGCTGATGCAGCTGGGTATAAATGAAATGAGCTATTAGCTGCTCTGCAAGATATCAGCAGGGGAGAGCTTTTGTTGGAGCACAAATGCAGCAGCAGTGAGGGAAAAACAGCCCTGGCAGCTCCTTTGTGGGGCTGGGAAACATAAAAAGGCCCTGAGAACCTCGCAGACCTCAAATTTGTTGCTCTACACCCACTTCTGTGGGCGCTGTGGGAGAACTGTTTCTTTGTGCTAAACCACTGCCTGTTCTCGAGCAGGTGGGTCTGTGCTGTGGGGAGCCCTGGGAAGTACTGCAAGTTTGACAAAACCCTGGGATTTTAAACTTTCTGGTAGAGCAGAGAGGGAGGCTTGGTCCTTGGCTGAGGGGGAGTACCTGGCTCAGTGTTCCTTGTCCTAGAATAAGGACTCAGCTCCTGCCTTTCCCAGCAGACAGAGGATCCAACTTTTCTTTGCCTCTCATTAAACCAGTCCCAGAATCCACATTTGGCCCTAACTGGTGCAAATTTCTTACTCTGCGTGCAAAAAAGTGAATGCAAAGCCTCAGACAGATGCTTGTGGAGTCTCTGGGACAACCTCATTTAAGGGAAATTTCTTCCCTTCTGTTGGAACCCACGTTCCAACAACAACAGGAACAGTGGGACGGTGTCCTTTCATGGTACAGGCTGCAATTAATTAATGGGTAATTACCAAGGGAGGTTCCTGGCCCGGGCTGGACTGCACAGCCCCACATCAGTTTGGTTCCAGTGACACACCAGTTTCCAGCCCAGGCTGTCCCACCCCATGAATCAGCGAGATTCCTTGGACTGTAAACCAAGCAGAGACGGATATTCCACTTGCTCCTGGGGAGCTGGGGCTGTCCAGAAGCTGCAGGAATGGGAATGAAAAGGACTTTGTCACATTGGTGGCCCAGCCCTATCAGCTCCGGAGAGGGGCTCGCAGCAGTTTTTCCTGCTCCAGATGAATTCAAGGGCATTCAAAGCCCATATTTGCGTAAAGACATCCGGTTATGCAGAACCTGGAGAGACGGGAGGTTTTGTTTCAAGCAGCGAGCGCTCCGTTGGTAACCATTCCATGTGGAGCCATGGCAGGCTGCATTTGGGTACAAATTACAGGGAGGCTCGTCCCGGGTCACAGACGGCATTGAAGTCACTCTGGGCCACCTCGGGGAATGCCACAGCCCCGGCCTGCCCTGGGAACGGCTCTGCCGAGACGCTCAGGTGCAGCTCCATCAGACTATTAAAAACAGAGTCTGGCCTTCCAAAAGGAGAGCGAGGACTGCGAGCAAGGGCGGAAGGCGCCCAGGCATGAAAGCCGCTCTGTTGTGTGAAGCCGCATGGGGAAAATGTGATCGTGGCTCTGCTGTTTCGGTGGAAAGGCTGGGAAAAGTGCGGTTTCCTCTCTCTTTCCGGCGTTTCACCCACACTTTTTTTTTTGTCCAGCTCCTCAGTCCCTGACCTTAATAGTGAGGGGAAAATTAGGCCGGAGACTCAGCTGCCTCTTGGGATGGATTTTCCCCCCCTGCCAGGAAAGGAGCCGTTTGTGGTGGGTCTGTGAGGAGGAAGTTTCTAGATTTTAAGTTTTCCACTTGAGGGTGAGGCGGGCTGAACCGATGGCGGGGGGGGGGGACACATACCCCGGGGCTGGCAGCACCCAAGGGGCTGTGGCCCCGCCAAGGCCGCTCCCACGCGTTGTCACCGAGCACGGCAGCAGCGGCGGGCGGTGTCTCACACCCGGGGCGCCGATGGCCGACACGGGGGTGACCGCGGGGACCCCATCCCTGAGGGGACTCTGCCACCGCCATGGCGGGCGCTGCCCCTCAGAACTGTCCCCTCAGGGAGGCCACGCCCCCCGCGCTGCCCAGCATTGTCCCCTCAGGGAGGCCACGCCCCCCGCGCTGCCCAGCATTGTCCCCTCAGGGAGGCCACGCCCACCCGCGGTGCCCCCTCACTCCTTGCCCCGCCCCTCCCGAAGCCCCGCCCACCCCGCGCGGCCCCGGCGGGCTCCGGGCGCGGGGCGGGGCCGCGCTCAGTCGCGCGCAGGGCGGGTGAGGGGAGCGGAGCGGCGTCGCCGTCCCGGCTGTGGCAGGGGCAGGGGCTGCAGCAGCGAGAGCAATGGCGCTGTCCGTGCCGGTCAACGGGCTGAAGGAAGGCGACAAGGAGCCCGTCATCGAGCTCTTCGTCAAGGTACGGCCGAGGGGGGAGTCAGAGGAGGGGAGGTGGGGCGGGGGAGCCTCGTCCCGTCTGAGCGCCGAGCGCGCGCGCGCCGCGACCGTTGGGCGCTCCCCCCCCTCCCCTCCTTCCTTCCCTCCCGGGGGGCTCCGAGTCCCCTCACGGCTCCCTCGGGCCTCTCGGTGCGGGTCCCACGGACCCCGCTCCCCGCCCGGCACGGCGGGGCCAGCCCCTCTGAGCACCCCCGAACACCCGGGGGGCTGCGCTCGGGGCGGCTCCCGGCGCGGTGCGGGCACAAAAGCGGAGCCCAGGGCGTGTGCCCGGCGCCGGGAGGGAGTGCGGGAGCCGCGGTGAGTCAGAGCGCGCAGATGGAGCGGGAGATAGCGCCGGCGGACCGCAAAGCAAAGTCACTTCGTTGTTTTTGAGGGGGGAAAAGTGCGGCCCGGCTGCGTTTTGCTGGAAGATTCTCCGCCCGGAGCAAAGGGTGCCGCGGGTGCGGGGCAGCACCGCGGGCAGCGCTGGCACCGGGAGGAAGCGAGCGCCGCGATGGATCGCCCTCGCTCGGCATTGTGTGCCCGGCGAGGCGGCAGAAAACAGCAAAAACACGAGTTACTCCTCGCTCCCCGCCCAAAAAGTCTACTTTTTATGACGGGAAGAGAATATGTAAAGTAACACTAGGTTTTTATCCAAACTGGAAGAATGAGCATGTGTTGTACTGCTCTTATCTGGCGAAGATACCATATGGTATCTCCACATGTTTTGCATTCATTTATTGCTGTATGATGCAATATTTTGCATCCTCCGGGGCTCTGGTGATGCAGCATCTTACTTTTACTTTATATCAAAAGTAGCACCAATTACCTCGTGCAATCTTCTCTTTCTGTGTTTAAACGTCCTTTAATGAAAGCCTCTGCAGAAAAGTATTTAAATTCTTCAGATGAAGTTTCTTCCAACTGCAGTGAGAAAAGAAGAGATCTCTTCATCTGGGAACTTGGGAATTGCTTTGTATAAAAGCAACGATGACAAACATGAAAATTTCCAGCTAGAGATTTGGAAATAACTTATTAAATATCGATTTTATTTCTTAAGTTATACTCTCTAAATGTGTTGAATTTTCCCTCTTTTCATACTTCTTAATAGTCAAGAGGTGGTAATGGGACCCCAGGGAGAGCATTGCAGTGGAGGATTCCAGACCTGATTTTTGTCAGACTGTTTAGGCTCTTATTGTAGAGGTTAGAACTTAAAACTGCAGCAGTTAAGGTACAGATTACTTTGAATTATTTATAACAGTGTATCTTTAATACAAAATGCCAGTTTGTCTTCGTCTGTCCTAAAGTTCATCAGCTGATTTTTCTTATTTTTAAACAAATTCGAGCAGTGATTAATGGCAGAATGATTTGGGGGCAGAGGGAAATCAGCTTTGTGGGTGTGTTTAAAGATAATATTTCATGCATGAGGAGTGGCATGGAAGAAGCTGTAAAAATAGTTTTGAGAGAGATGTGTTCATTCTGATTAAATAAGAATTGGACCAATAAATCTGTGAGATTATATGAAAGGTGGAAATCAGGGAAATTTTCTGTACTTTTCAACTGAAATTTCTTCATTGGCATAGGTTTAAGAAGGCTAAATTTGGGGTTATCAGTGAGGATTTTTCCCTCAAGGAAACCTTTTCCCATTGTTATGGATGACTGCTGCACACTGAGCACTGTCTGCCCTAAGGATAAAGTTCAGGTTAAAATAAGAGGTTATTATTGCCTGCCTTCATAATCTTCAGGTAAAGGTTATTTCCTGTAAAATCCTTCAGATAAAGGACAACCCCCAGCCCAGCAGACAGACCAAAATAGTTGTTTCACCTGGGTGTTGCTGCCTGTCCCACACTTTATTGAATCTGTTGAGGATTATCAAGACAGCATTTTTGTAAGGCAAATAAAATCCTGTTTTCTGACTCATTTCAATGCTCACTTCAGAAATTGCTAGCAGAACGTGTTTATTAAGGAGAACCAACAGTGTCTGTCTAAAGGATAACTAAATTTGGATTTTAGTAATTATTTTTTCCTCTGTGAATGCGATGCTCACTTGCAGTTTTTCCACATGGTTGCGGATGCAATCTAGAAAAAAAAAAATAATCCGAAGTTACTGAGAGTTTCTCCATGAAGATAATCACTTTTCAAGCCGTGTCTGGGATCTACCTGTGCCCTGTTAGCCGGGGAATTGCTTCAGGCAGAGGTAGTGGGAAAAGTTCTGGACCAAACTCGAGCCCAGCCCCGGCCCAGGGGCGGTGACTGCATGACCTGAGCACAAAGGATTGTAGCAGCCAGACCCGAGATGGAACAAAGGTAGGGATTAAAGCTTGAGAAACAAACCCGTGAAGCAGGAGAAAGGGTCTAGCTCTGTGCCCAAACTGTGGGGTTTGAGCCTTATTAAATGGTGATCAGTAACAAAATAGGCTGGGCTCTACACCGGGAGGAGCACGCACATGGCTGGGCTTAGTTGGGAATGGCTGTCACAGTGTTGTCAGCAGCACATTGATACGATTTTTCCCACCAGACAATGTATCAATCTACTGAAACCTGTATTTTCTGAGTCTGTGAGAACTCCCTGCAGGATTGGGGTACTTAGGCAAGAAAACCTGTTACAGTGGTGATTCTGTCTCTTGGTGTCATGATGAAGACTTCCAGATTTATTTAATTCCAGAGCCGGTGGGCTGCCTGTGGTCTCTTTTAAACCAAGTGTAAATATTTTCCAAGTATTTTCTCTTGAGAGCTGATTAGGATAGAACCAGTAATGTATCTGATTTAATTTCGTTTCCTTGTCTGTTCCTTGTTTTATTAATGAGGGAGGCTTCCATTGTCTAAGAGGAATATTTTTATGTGCCCTAGTGGCATTTCAGAGCAGTGAAGGCTGCATTGTGGTGAATGTGCTCGGAGAAACCTGAGCTCTGGGGTTTGAGTGCAGCTCAGACAGGTCACTTGGAATAAGTTGATGGTGTGTGGAATTTTATTGTAAATAAAAAACGTGGTGAAGTGACTTGGTCAAATAGACCCAGTCACCTGTGGAAGTCACAGGACAGAGTTACAAAACTGCCTGTGCAGTTCCTGTAAGGGAGTGTGTGAGGATGGAGCTGCTGAAAGCTCAGCCCTGGGTGTTCTGGAGGACACTCAGTGATTGCATCCTCTGCTCATGCCAAGGCGAAGACACAGAGAGTCAACAAGTTCGGTGTTAAAGGAAACAAACACCAGACTCCACTAACGAGAAATTCAGATTATCCAGCAGATAATGGCATGGCATGGCATGGGTTGGAGCAGATGTAGGCAACCCGTGAGGAAGGTCTCCCCTCTCCACTGAGTAACGTGTGTGTACTTGCTAATTAATCAGACCCTGGATTTCTGGCAGCTCTCAAATAAGATATTATTGCAAAATGGGGCACCTGTGTTGAAAATCAGAGTCTACTATCTGTTTACCTTTGAATTGTCTGTCAGTACAAAAGAAAAAGCTGTGATTTCACATTTAATAAATCCCCCACTCTGGAGCACTCACAGTGTTTGTAGCAGAAGCTTGTCTCTGTTTTTGTGTATCTGCACCAAACAGAGACTTGGCAGGTGAACCTGTTTGTCTTCTGGGCTCGGGGTCTCTTTTGTTCAGTGCAGTGCTGGGGCCGAGGCAGGAAGGGGCTGTGAGCATCTCCAGCAGCAGCTCCACGGGATGGATTTGTGTGGATTCAGGTCTGCCTTTGTCTCGCCCTCTGCTCATTCCCTTATGTAAGCTCTGCTGTGACACTCTGCAGCTCTGTAGCTCTGTACACTGCTGTACAGCAAACCATCCCTGAGCTTCTTTGTCATCAATTTTTATCTTTTTTCACCCACAAAGTAGCTGTATGATTTAAAGGCACATCAGTACAAGGAAATAACAGGACTTGAGACATGCAGTGCTGCTTCTCAGAGATAGTCTTGGCAGGGTTATTGCTTGATAATCTTATTAGATAAGTCTCCTCCTTATGCATCAGCTCATCCTTGGAGGGTTTGATGTAACCTCAGTAGCTGAGAACCTCCTCAGCCTTTCTTTGATATGTGTTTGGTGTAGACAGCAAAATGTCATGTGAGGGTTATTTCTTGGGAGTGTTGTAAAGGAGCCCTTTGTAAACTGAGGTGTAACCATTTAGTTATATCCTGTGCTCAGTGGGTATAAATCAGGCCTTTTCTTTCTCTGGCCAGCAAACTGTAATTCCTTTAAATTCTGCCTGTGAAAGTCCTCAGAGCCAAAAACATCCTCAGCTTTTTTATTTGAGTCTGGGTGGTGATACAGGAACTGGTGCTCTTGGTACAGAGTTTAAAAGTACTGAGATGGTCTCAAGTGTAAATGTTACATTTTTTTGCAAATCATTGGTAAGTAAGCTTAAAGCCTCCTGGCAATAATTTCCAGAGGGATTGCACAGATGAGTTAGCTTTCCTTCAGTCAGGAATTGCTTCTGAGTAACAGTTCTATTCCCTGGCATCCCTTCTCTCCTTCCCAATGATTCACATCCAGACAGCTGTGATTGTCAGGAGAACTTGTGTTTCACTTTGCAGCTGAAATGTGTCTCAGGCACTTTTCCTCTTTTCTCCTCAGAGGGATCTAAAAACTGTGTGAATTCCCAGATTTCAGCTGAGGGTTGGCCTGTATGGTGGTGCTTGTGAGTCACTCCCTCCGTGGGACACATGCCATGGACACATTCCTGCAGCACAGATCCTGCTACAAAAGACAAGTCTGTCCTCAGTTTTCCCAGCTGGGGTTTCTCAGGGTGTGCATTGAGGGCTTGAAGTGGAAGGAGAAGCCTGTGATCAGAGCACACGTTGTGGGGCAAACTTTAGGGCCTGGAGGCTGCCAAAAGTCAGGGATAAAGGAACACTGAGGATCCAAGGCTTGTCCTGAGTTTTTGTGTCAGTCTGTGACAGGGTGAGTGTGCAATGATGAGTTCACCAAGAGGGAAGGGCACTGTGAACACCAGCATTCCTGTGAAGATGGGTAAAGAGAGTGAG